CAATGGTTTCAAGTTAACGAACTTTTTGGTTTACGAACGACCTTCTGGAACGGATTGAGTTCGTTAATCGAGGGGTCACTGTATATATATATATTTTTTTACGTACATATTAAATATTATATTATTAGTCTATTATATTATTATAGTCTGTTAGTCTATATCTTTCCAAGTTACTTCCACCTTCGTGACGAATTCAAAGCATTTACAAGTTTTGTAGTAAACTGGAATATGTTCTTTGCTAAATGAACTGTTGTTAATGGTTAATTTTATATAATTTTGTGTTTATTGCGTATATAATTATGTATATTTTGATATGCACCTGTTGGAAGGAGTAACACACACAACGGAAAAGCTTCCTCTTCACAAAAACAACTACGTCTTTGATGGAAGCTTTGTTTCAAGCACAAGTGACTGTACCTACCACATCTGGGAAACTATTAGAGAGTCTTATTTGAGTAGCTTCCATGAGAACCACATTTGGATTTTATAACCAATACCTGCCATCCTCTCTCAATCAAGAGTACTGAAAGAGATCGAAGAGGTTCATCCACAGAATATTTGATCAAAGGTCCCATGACAAAGATCCCAGGAGACCGGAAAAGTTTCTTGTTAAATGAACGAATGGAAAAAGGACAAATATCCACAGAAGCAACTGGGCAGAAAGATCTACTTTGTTTGTGCAGACAAGTACACCTGACTTATGTGTGTTGATGGGCAGAAGACAGTTTCAGAATATGTTGAGGAACTGTGCTCCATGCAAGAGGAAGCAGACACAATGACTGTACTCCACTGCCTGCACATTGCAGCTCATGTCACGATGTGCCAGAGGATGCACCTAGGTCATACTAACAGTAAGGAATCATATCACATAATCCAAACTTGATGAAGAAACTGCATTAATAGAGACTGAATGTGAAAAGGACCTGGATGTGTATGTTGACAATGAACTGAAGTTCTCGGGCCATTGTGAGAAGGTGAATCAAGCAACTAAACTAGAAGGTCTTATAAGAAGGTCGCTTGTAATGAGATATGCTAGAGACTGTCAATTGCTTGAAAATGTCCAAAGGAGTACCCAGAGAGATTAGAACGCCTGTAACTGCCTAGCTTATACTACACATGGGCAAAGGGTGATCTAATTGATGTTTATAAACATCTCGGTCGAGTATCCATACCCTGAGCTGGCGGACGCCTGCCCCACATAGGGTCATAGCTCAAGGGTGAAGAAGCCACAAGTCCAGAAAACTGTGAGGGCAAATGTTTTTGGAGTGAGAATCTGCCAGACAGTGTTGTGATGGCACTGAGTGTGAGCTGCTAAGACCAGACTTGACCAACACCGATGCAGGTACAAATACATTCAGAACCCAGTACTTGCCAATAGTACGTAACAGAGACGTGACCAACCACCCAAACAGCCGATCAGTGACAAAGAGGATAAAAGCAAAAAAGTAAACGTATCTATAGCTGTGTGTTCTCCAGACACTGATGTGTTCATTGTTCTACAGAAGTTTACACAGAATATCAGACTGAAAGTTCTGTTTGCCACTTGAGTCAGCAACTAAAGACCTACAGAGATACAAAGCATGATTCAAGATGTGGGGAAGAGATCTGCCAAGTTCTTCCTGCATTACTTGCAATTGTCAAAAAGGGAATGATTACAACTATGAAGATCCTCAGGCAACACCTTGAGTTTCTTGACATATTCACACAATTTGGGAGCTCTGAAGAAATAGCTGACATTGTGTTTGCTGGACTTGAGTACTTTACGTGCCTTCTCTTTGGGGATTATCAACAAAGGATTAACTGGTGCATAGGAAATTCCTGGAACGATTCAGTAGCAAACATGGAGCATTGCTGACAAGTTGTGATGGAGTGGACATGAGCCTGCTTCCTCCTCGCAGAGATTCCCTAAAAATGTACATCAAAGTAATCAGGCAGCTAAATCAACCCAAGTCATTCCTGCACCAGAAGCTCATGGCTGGGAACTTGCAGAAGGAAAATTGGAAGTTCAAGTGGACAGAAGAGCTGGTGGATGTGTTGATGGAGGTCCCAGGGAAGACAGAAGAGGATGAAGTTTTTAACCTGATGGACTGCATCTTTGAGCACGATGACTAGATTTTGTGATTTTTTCTACAGTCTCAACTGGGTAAAATCTTACCTGGTCTTATGATACTGAGTATATTTCCACTGAATTTTTGTTGAACTTGAAGATGAATGAAACTCGTAAATATTGTCAGATGTGAAACACATTTAAGTTCAATTTTAGTAAAACAGGTCAAGATAGTATTCTGAATGCAGAAGGATTATAATAACTAGATTATGTAAAATTATTTCTTCAGTCTCAACATTGAGTAGAGCCAAACCTTTACTGTTGATATGAAGTACTTCTTAGACCATTGCATTTTCCATTATGCTAAAAGATGAATATCAACTGTGAAATGTAAAACACATTTTTTTTATTCTAGTAAAATAGATCAAGACAGCTTTTTATTGCCTCTGTCAACTAAACAACACGGTCTCCAGTGGGGGGGGGTCGAAACCTGGCCCATGGACTACATTGCCCTTTCAAAATTACAAAGTGACAACTGCAAAACAGGGGAAATGGTGAAAATTTGGAAAGATCTAATGCATCAACTCGAACAACTACCTAGTCCTGAAGAGGAATTACTCAAGGCAAAGAACAGTAGTCATCAAGCAATTACTGGTTATCATCTTCTTGCATACATTTTGGATCCCTGTTATCAAGATCACTTGGAAAGCCTTACAGAAGAGGAGGAGAGTAAAGCCCTGTTCTTAGCAGAAGAGCAATATCCCTTTAATAAGACCTATTTATTTGACTCATCCGTCCTTTCTCATCTTGCTCCCTGTTCCTGGTGGCATGGCTTAACAGGCAAGGTTAACAGAACAAATATTTACGTCATTTGGACCAGCACATTCAAACTTAGAAATAGATTAGGAATAGTGTGGCTGGGAAAGTGGTATTTCTTCATAAAATTTTGAGCAAAGATTCTAATTTAGAATCAGATTACTAGAGAATTTTGTCCTCCAGTAAAGAGCAAAGTGAGTTTATATTATGATTTGTTAAAACCAGCAGCTTGCTTCTTTTCTTTTTTTTCTGTAATTTTCCTTTCAAGATTAATATTTCAAAGTAAAGTTCCATTAAAATGTTTTTGAATTGTTCAAAGTATCAGGTACCTGTACCAGTACAATTTATAATTATCAGAGCTAAAAAATTCAGGAATACAATTATTTTGTTTTGTATTTTTCCAATACATTATACAGGTGCTTCTCTACTTATGAACGAGTTACGTTCCTGAGGCGTGTCTGTAAGTCCAATTGGTTGTAAGTTCAACTTCACTCTTGTAGATAACAAACATGTTGTAACAGCTACACCCTACAATACAGCCTTAAAACCTGGCTCACTTTCCAATGTTCTATCTGGAATTTTCTTCAAAATAATCCAGTTTCATCCACATTTAACACTGGCTCTGGGAGATAGCCCCCACAATGATGAAGTTTGTATCTCTGAAACTTTGTAAGTAGAATGTTCTTAAGTAGAGCACCTGTAGTTTATCCAAAGACTTATTTAATCATTTATAAAAATCGATTTACCCTTTTTAAATAATATTTTTTCATGCAACACAGAAAAATATTTATATACAGTACAGTGGTCCCTCGTTTAACGAACGCCTCGGTTAACGAAATTCTTATGAAAATGTTTCGACATGCTTTGGCTTGCTCACCAACTGGAAGATTAGTCCGCCAATACAGAAATCGGTTCTAGGGCTTAAATTCGTTAAAATTGGAGTGAATATTAAGAAGGTTGTACTATTCAATAATTTACAAGTTATATATTAAAATTATTAGTAATTTTAACACTTATTTAACATAATTGCAGTACAGGGAACTAGTTTTTGGTGTGCCCATCAGCCACTTCACTCACCCACCAAGGCCTCAGTATGTATCTCTGTTCAGTGGAGGAAACATCTTGCTTGTGGGTCTCTTGAACACAGAGTATTTTTACATTTTTTACAGTATAGTGCAGTGCAGTGTTGATTTAAAGAAAATAATCTTGAATTACACCAAGTGAACTTAAAATTTTATGGGTGAAATGATGGCATCAAGCATGGGGTGATTTCTCTTCCACCCCCACTTCCTTCTCTTCTCCCTTCTTCTCCACCCCCTCTTCAAATTCCCATCATCATCAACCAGGAGCCTTCTACATACACACCTCAAAGTAAGTGTACTTTACTGCATTTTTTTTTTTACTTTGTATGTAATTTTTGGTGAGCTGGAACCAATTACCCAAAATCCCATTGAAACAATGGATTCGGTTAACGAAATTTTCGGTTAACGAACGACCTTCTGAAATGAATTGTGTTTGTTAACCGAGGGACCACTGTAGTTCACATCCAGGTTCACGTTGAACATAATGCATCCCTGTCTAACACTCACAACTATTTCAAAAGTTTCAAATGTTTCACTTTCTCATAGAATGCTTTTATTGCATTTAATAGCCCTTTTCCCACCCTATACACTTGTAATACCTCCCACAATGCTTTTCTGTTCACCCATTCATGTGCCTTTTCCAAATCTACTACAGTACTGTATAATTTGTTAAAACCAATTGTATGTAATAAAAAACAACACAAAAATTATTAAAACCAAGAAAAAAGCAGAGATTAAAAAAGTTTCCTTTTTGTTAGGTTTAAACCACGGTATAAACCATTTGGCTTAAACTTATGTTTTAAATCAGCCAACCCTAACTGTTCCTCATGCTAATGCAAATTTCATGTTATGCAAACTCGTGTTAAATGGGGTTTACTTGTATACCAGTAAATATTATACTAAACCCATCTTACCTATATAATCATTCTGACCAAACAATGCCTTCCTTTCAGACCAATTATTTTTGGGGCGGAAAAGTGGTACGGGTAATCGCTGGCCGTGAACCATGTGCGGCAACATTCCTGCAAATAAAATAAAAATGTTAGTTCAGTACATGACAGTATAATGAAATACAAAGATACTGTAGCTATTTTTTTAATGCTTCCCATATACAGTACTGTGCAGTATAAGAATTCTCTCAATGCCATTAACCAACTATGGATGAGCACTATGTCTGAAATACTGTACTACAGCTACAGTGCTGCATATAATAGATGAAGGCTGATTACTATATAGTACTGTACAGTACAGCGTTTCTCTAATTACAACACAATATATCATCTTTCTCAAAGAAAGTGGTTTAAAATTATCATTACAATGTACACAAATACACACCCTTGGTGTGAAGTTTTTCCTTGTAACCATAGTGCCTCTTCAGAGGGCCCTTCTCCAGCTTGTCCGCATAATATCTGTGTCTGACAGTGGTAACAAGAGGGGTCCAGGCTGGTGTGCTCCAAGTTCCTCTGTTCAACAAACTCTGAGATACTCCTCGAAGAGCTGCTGGGGCTGTTTGAGAGATGCTCTGAGATACAACACCCAGAGAGCGCAGGAGTGTGCCCGCCACTGCTGTCATGGCCGTTTCTGAAGAACAATGAAGATGGTACACTACAAGAGGTATGAGTTAGTGAATATCATGTCTTCCTAAAGCACTCACAACAAGTCAAGCTAACTTTCTGATATAACACAACAGTACAGTATTAGGAATGTACCAATACCTATACAGTACTCATTAACAAGCTGATACCGATACTTCGATACTTTGAAATGGCCAATACTTTGCTGATACCGATACAGTGGTCCCTCGGTTAACGAACTGTTTGATTAACGAAATTTCGGTTAACGAATTACCTCCCATAAGGATCTTCAATTCGGTTAGCGAACAAAACTTCAATTTACGAAATCCTTACGACAAACACGTTTTGTTGTGAGCATCAGCTGATGGGCTAGTCCGCCAATTCAGTACAGTAGTCTGTTCTATGTTTACATTCGTTTCCAGTGGAGTAAATATCAAGAAAGTTGTGCTCTTTAATATTTCTGCATTTTTTATATTAAAATTATTAGTCATTTTAAAATTTAGTTAACATATTGATAATACAGTATATGCAGTACAGAGAACTTGTGTTTTGTACGCCAATCACCCGCTTGACTCACCCACCAGGCGTTAGTTTGGCTTTGTTTACAGTGGAGTGAGCATCGATTTTGTTGGTGTCTTGAATATTTTTGCATTTTTATATTAAAATTATTGGTAATTCTGAAATTTAGTTAACATATTAATAATATATAGCGCAGTGCAGCGTTGATTTTAATAAAATAATCTTGAATTACACCTAGTGAACTTAAAATTTTATTGGTGAAAATACTGCATCAAGCATGGGTCCCCTGAAAGGTGATTTCTCCTCCATCCCCACTTCCTTCTCTTCTCCCTTCTCCTCCACCCCCACTTCTAATTCCCATCATCATCATCAACGAGGAACCTTCTACACATACACCTCAAAGTAAGTGTACTTTACTGCATTTTTCTGTGAGCTGGAACCAATTACCCAACATCCCATTGAAACAATGGATTCTGTTAACGAACGACTCTGTGGAACGAATTGTGTTTGTTAACCGAGGGACCACTGTGTGTATATATATATATATATATATATATATATATATATATATATATATATATATATATATATATATATATATATATATATATATATATATATATATATATATTATTATTATTATTATTATTATTATTATTATTATTAAAAGGTTAAAAATAAAACATTTTCACGTGTCCGAGAGTTATCACAGAGCAGGGGACGGGAGAGTGAAGTGGTAATGCATTTTTTTCTTTTATGTATTGCTCATGTTTACTGGTACAGTTCATATCCCCTGATGATATTACACTTTAACGATGATGATATATTAACACCACCTCCCTTATCTGTTATGTAAACAATCCGCATGAACAATAGTCATCGCAGTGTTAGACTTCTGGGCTTAAGCCCCGGATCTTTTGTTCCTGACAAACAAAAAAAGCATAATTCCCCACCTATCCTGATATCAAAATAAAGATTGTGTCATACCTAAATACTGAAAAAAGCTGTTAAAAACGTTTTCCATTTCCTCTCTGGTAGCTGTAAATATGTGATCAAGATTCAAAATTGCTGGTGATAACTGGCATAGCCTGGCAACCAACCCTCTTACTGTGGTTAGTGCTGCACGCTGGTCAGTTATACTTCAGGAAGTTCACGAGGCTTGTGTGTTATTGTGCTGCTGTGATTTTGTCAAATTCCATTTAATGTAAGTAAAATTATATTCTTTATTTGTGTTTCTGCTACAGTAGAGATATATTTGAGTGTGGGGAGAGCAAAGTTTACAATTAATTATGAATAACAAGAAATGCCATCCATTCAATCTTTTTCTCTTTGTAAGGGAACTTTTCAGCTGTTGTGCTTATCCTCACAATGACTATCTTATAGAAAATACTGTACTAACCCTCCATATATAATAAATATATATATATATATATATATATATATATATATATATATATATATATATATATATATATATATATATATATATATATATATATATATATATATATATATATATATATATATATATATATGCTGATAACCACAAGGAAAGAAGAAAACACGAAGTTCCCAAGCGCTTTCGTGTAATTCACATCTTCAGGGGTGAGTACAGACTAAAGAGAAATACAAACCAAGGTGTATATATACAGAGGAGGGTGAGACCAGGTCCACAATGGTCAGGTATTAGGTAATGACCCTACTAATCTTTAAATAGCACACAACGGTTGGTGGTCAGGTCAGATGGTTAGGTGACCCTACCTTCTCACCCTGACCTGACCACCAACCGTTGTGGCTATTTGAGATAGTAGGGTCAGCCCTATCTGACCATTGATTATCAACAAGCCCACCGGACTGGGTCGCTTGACCCTGGCGGGGCCTGGGGAGCGAAAAAAAAGAAAAAAAGAAAGAAATTGAAAATAGAGAAGAAAAAGGTTATACTGTGTTAATCTACACCACAATGAGACCCTGTATATCACTATACAGTAGTCTGACAGGTTTGCAACCAGGATCAGGGATCAGGGGGTCGGGGGGGTGGCAAAGAAGGAACAGAGGAGGCTGATCGCCTAGGAGTTAAAATCTGAGGAACTAAAAAAAGTGAAGCATTATTTAGTCCACAGAAAAGGGGCTGGTAATGCCATTCAGGACATGATAAGTGTATTCAGATTATTAGATCCTGTTATGTTTCCTTCACTTAAAGCAATAATACAAGTTGCCCTGACAGTGCCAGTCAGCAGCTGCAATTGCGAGAGAGCCTTCAGTGCACTGAGGCGTCAGCACACTTGGCTACAACGAACAATGGAGCAAAGAAGACTGCATCACCTTGCTGTCTTATCTATTGAAAAGGAAATGCTAGAGCATGTCAGGCACAATGAAATCATAAACACATTTGTACAACTCAAGGACAGCTGTTATGAATTAATGCTACCATCTACATCTAGCCTCAAAGGAATTCTCAACCAGAGTGAAAGTCCTATATGACACTTTAGCGTGATCTAAGTGTTCTGCTGAAGAGTAATTTTGCAACTGATGAGCAATTATGTATTAACCTAACGATTCCCTAATGTTTTCCATTTTCATTTTGAGCTTTGTAATAGTTTCCATACATACTGTATAAATTCACGCTGAATAAAATGTGAAAATACATGTGTGTATGTGTAATGTTGCATATGAAGCTGTTATTAGAGTTAACATAAAGAGCGAGTCATGATGAACTAGCAGGAGTTAGTGGGGAGTAAGGGGAATGGAGGAACACTTTGGGTTTAAGCCCCGGATGTTTTGCATGGCTAGCAACGCCCCTGGGTCATGGTCTGGACTAATCACTTCACAGTCAGCTAAACAGAGTACAGTACAATGTGAATGGTAGTGTTGTCCTTTCACTGTGATTAACCAATCAGAACAATTTGTGAATCCCAACGACCCTCGAGTGCACACCCAGACCATCGAGCACTTGTGGCGTAACGTCAAGGAGTGGACCAAGAGACCTGGGATGAAGAGCGAGTACTTCAAACAGTATTTTGTGGGATATCTCTTTCTGGATCTACACCCTTCAGATCATCACCACCAGTTCTATACCACAGCTGCGCAACTCTACCCACCTCAAGGACCAAGGAACCACCCTCGTCAGGAACGTGCTGAACCTGTGCCACCCGAAGAAGGGTTCGAGGAGGAGAGGTCGATGACCCTGAACCTAGCCCTAGTCCTTCCACTTCTAACTAAGGTACAGTATTGTACTTTCGGACCTGGTGCCCCAAAGTTTTAAACTACTGGAACATTTAGATCTCCTTATTTTGAGTCTTTTGAACCCCATTCATACTACAGTAGTTGGAAATGAATAGGATAGGTTAGGTTAGTTTAAGCTACACCTACCGGGGGCCAGGGGCAGAGCCCCCAGCTAGGGGTTAGGTTAGATGATTCATTTTCGTCATCACCCCCACCCAAAAACCACAATTTCCCGGATCTCCCCCATTATCGTTGGGGGGGGATAAAAAATTAGCAAATTCTGTCAAAAATGAAGGTCAGATTCGTTAAGACACACCAAAATACACTGGAAAAACATATTGGTCAACCTTGAGGTAATCATGTCCGTAAGTAAAATTTACCTTTTCATCCTGCATGAATTTTGCCGTTTTTGTTGCTTTTGGAAATTTTTTTCTGGGGAAAAACAAAAAACTAGTGATTTCCTTATTTAGCCTAACCTAACATAACCTGAACTAACCCCCCCTACCAGGGAAGGCATCGCCCCCCCCCTGAGTGGTTATATACAGGTAATGTTGTCAGTATTTAACTTATCCTTATTTAACCTAACATAACCTGAACTAACCCCCCCTACCAGGGAAGGCATCGCCCCCCCCCTGAGTGGTTATATACAGGTAATGTTGTCAGTATTTAACTTATCCTTATTTAACCTAACCTAACATATTCCCCTATTGGGGAAACGCTATTTTTTCAGAGTTGGGTCATGTATTATATAGTATTGTAACGTGATTCAGACGACGGTAAATGTTACTCTTAGTACTATAATCTTCTAGCAACTCAAAAATATATTTTTCCTGTGTATTTTGTTGTGTTTTGAATGAATTTGACCTTCAAAACTGTCGCAAATCAACAATTTTTGAGTTATGACCTCCCCCCCCTCCCCAACAATAATGGGGGACCCCTGTGGGAACCGGGGGTTTTGAGTGAGGGGGAGGAACTCAAAAACAAGTGATTAGCACCAGTTTTGAAGGTCAAATTCATTCAAAACATAACAAAATACACAGGAAAAATATATTTTTCATCACTAAAATATGTATCCTAACCTAACCTACCTAACCCGATTAATACCCGTGAGCGAGCTATTTTTATTTCTGATTATTTTCATCAGTGAGTTCTGATGGGAGCTGGTGGTAGAGCGGTACCGTTCTTGCCTCGCAAGCGAGATGTCACGGGTTCGATTCCCAGGCTGGCGGAAGTTGTATGGACACACTTCCTAGTCCCCTTGGTCCCTGTTCACCTAGCAGCAAAGTAGGTACCTGCTGTAAATCGGAAGTTGCTAATTCGTATTCAGGGACAAGTTGTTGGAGCTTCCAATAACTTGCATAGACATAAACCATTGACTCTTCAGGCTTCTACGCCCTTAACTCATGAGACATAAGGCAAGCATGAACTTAGCATGCTTCCCTGTTGGGCGCTGTAAACGCTTCTGCGCTTCACCTTACACAAGGATGTAGGGGGGTGCCCAATAAATGAAAAAAAAAAGAAAAAAAAAAGTGAGTTCTGATATGATAATCATTTATTGTGGAACCCCCCCAACACAGTATATCACTCCGCCGCCCAGGCTGCATAGCACCGATGCGGCCATATCATCTCACATCCAGAAAATGACCCAAATTTCACCATATCATAGTAAGTTCTTTGTTTAATATACCGGGAAAGTTAGGTAAGGTTAGGTAGGTTTGTTTTGATTGGTTCGGTCTGTTCATACCCACAAACGTTAAGTAGCGTTTATTTTTAAAATATAATTTTTGTTACGTATTTCCATAAACCACAACAGTGTCCACGATAATATAACAATAAAAATTCGGTGTTTTCATATTTTTTAAATCAATTTCGGTCACTGGTTAGGCCTATATAATTACCCCTAACCTAACCTAACCTAGTTGGGGTAAATGTTACGTATAGTCCTATAATCTTTTCACTGGATTTCTGAAGATGACAGCGTGTCACCCGATAAAGGCGATATGTCAAGGTTAATTTCCTAACCATAACTTTCGAGCGCCATATCTTCTTTATTGTGCATTTGCGCAGGAAATATCATAGAAGAAAATTGTCTTAAAATTTTCTGTAGATTTCACATGTGTTGCCAGATTTATCATAAAGAATTATAGGACTAAAGTTATCAAATACCCAGACGACCCACACTATGCACTCCCCCTCCCATGGCTCGCCGACGGTACAGTATTATAGTAAAAATAAAAAAATAAAAAGAAACATTTCCCCAAAAGCGAAGTGTCACTAGCAATTAACAAAAAAAATTATGGCGGAAAAGCAGTGTGTTCTTGCTAGAATCGGTGACAGCATTAATCTACACGTCAACCCTCATCCACAGGGGGTCCGACTAATTACCCAAATGTACCCAAATGTAGCCGCAATGAAGTCAAATAATGGTCCTACATGAATAAATCGGACTGCCAATCACTTCTCGACTGGTATTTGGTGTCATGAACTCACAAAAAATTGGTAAACTTAATTTAATCTGAGTTAATAGAGCGAGTGCATGTACCTAACCTAACCTCGATTAGTATTTGGTGAAACAAAGTCACAAAAAATTGGTAAACTTAATTTAATCTGAGTTAATAGATCGAGTGCATGTACCTAACCTAACCTAACCTAACACAACTCGGATTAAATTAAGTTTACCAATTATTTGTGACTTTATGGCACTAAATAATAATCGAGAAGTGATTCACAGCCCGATTTACGCTTGTAGGACCATCATTTGACTTCATTGCGGCTACATTTGGGTAATTACTCGCTCCCTCGGTATATGTACGCGATCTATTAACTCAGATTAAATTAAGTTTACCAATCTTTTGTGAGTTCATGACACCAAATACCAGTCGAGAAGTGATTGGCAGTCCGATTTATTCATGTAGGACCATTATTTAACTTCATTGTGGCTACATTTTGCTACATTTGGGTACATTTGGGTTATTAGTGGGATCGTCCACAGGTGAGCCACTTTGTACTGTTATAAAAATGAATCAAATTCACATAACTCCCGGTCAGAGCAACAACCAGCCTTACTTACAAAAAATAACAGATAGATAAAAGTTGGACATTATTCTGAATTGCTATTTATTAATTATCAAGAAATGCTTACCTGTGTTTTAACTTACTCTAAACCTTAAAAATATTAAGTCACTGGTCGGGGTGAACGGCTCCCACACAGACAATGTTTATACCGTTTATAGCGCCACCAACTTCCATCTATATATCACTACATGCGTTTAGGAGATGAAACTTGCTTTTCATTTAAGCTATTACTGTTAATATCGTCATTAATAATACAAAAACACGATAATTATCAAGGGTTATAAAACTATTTCTTGATACTACTAATACTATTATTTTTACGGTTCTTGCCAAGACCAGCAGCGTCCAGTAATAATGTGGTTTTACTTTCGCCCCAGAGATGGCAGTGACTTCTAGTAGTTAAGAATATTGCTACAGTACTACTATAGTAAGTTTTTTCCCCGCCCCCTCCTCAAGAGTTACAGCCAGGGCCGGATTTACCAATAGGCCATTGGCCTAGGGCCCACCGGTACCTGGGGGCCCACTGAAACTAATTTGTCACGCAGCGTGCCAGCGTATAACCTTGTTTCAAGTGTACACCGAGTATTTCATTTGATAATATATTCACAACCATAAGGGCCCCTGTATAATAAGTATAGGCCCGCAGTGGTCTTCAACTGGTGGGCCATTGGGTGGTTCTCAGGTGGGCCACGGACTAGGCCCTATAGTAAAATGAAGAGGGCAGAGTTATGACAATGCTGCCAATATGTCGGGCATTTACACTGGTCTCCAAGCCAGAATAAAGGCTATGAATCCCCTGGCATATTATGTCCCTTGTGCAGGTCACTCCTTGAACCTTGTAGGAACATCAGCTGCCAGCAGTTGCCTTGGGTCTGTTTCATATTCCAGATTTTTGCAAGCCTTATACAACTTCTTCTCAGCCTCCACATATAGATGGGATCACTTGAAAGCTGCACTACCTGCTGAAGGGACTGTAGTGAAAAACCCTTTCAGAAACTCGCTGAAGTGCGAGGGCTGATGCTGTTAAAGCAGTGTTTTTTCATTACCTTGAGATAAAGTCAGCACTGGAGAGCATATGTTCTGACAGTAGACAAACTGTGGCTACAAAGCTTGAAGGTGAAGGCCTCATAAGACAAATGGAAGCATTTGAAACAGCACTTCTTACTGTAATATGGTATAAAATCTTAACAAGGTTTAATGCAACCAGCTTATCACTTCAAAAAGTTGAGACTGACCTTCTGTCAGTTGTGAAACTGTATGAGAGTTTGATCTCCTTCATCTCAGAAATGAGACAGGGTCAGTTTGATGAAATAGAAGATCAGCCTAGGCCTTTTGCTGAGCCTGTCTACACAGAGACAACAAAAAGAACAAAAAAGAGAAAAAATTTCTTTAATGAATCAGTTGGCACTGAAACTCAACTTGATACACATGAGAAGTTCAAGGTGGACAATTTCTACACCATATTAGATTGCCTTAGGAATGAATTAGAGCACAGAGTGAATGCCTACTCAGAAATAAAGAAGCTGTATAGCTTCTTAACGGAGTATGACAGTATGAAACTGATGATCTCAAAGCCCAACTGGAATTGGTTGTCAGTACCTATTCCAGTGACCTGGAAGCATCTGTTCTAGATGAGTTTTTGCAATTTAAAGACATTTTGTCTTCTGAATCTAACAGGTCAGTGACAAACATCTCCACTTTGCTGAGGTCCAAAGATGGTATTTTGACAACTGCCTTTCCAAACATTAGTATCTTGGTAAGAATTTTCCTTACCATCCCCATTACAATTTGTGAAGGAGAGAGGTCTTTCTCTACTCTATCTAGGGTGAAAAATCACCTGAGGTCTACCATGGGACAAACCAGATTAAACTCACTTTCATTATTATGCATTGAATCTGGCCTCCTACAATCCCTTGACACAAACAGTATCATTGACAAATTATCCATGAAAAAAAGTAGGAAGAAGTTATTTTTAAATTCACACAGTTTGCTGTACTTCATGTGCTTGCAAAATTGATTATGCTTCAAGTTAATTGTATTTCTTTCATTATTCCCATATATAAGATGTACATGATATAGAACTAATTTGATTAAAAGTAATGATGTGTCACATTGTGTTGAAATTCTTATTTCTTACATTATAATATTATGATACATGTAATATTTGATGACATTTGGCCATTGCAAAATAATTACAGTAAAATAAATAAATAAATAAATAAATATATATATATATATATATATATATATATATATATATATATATATATATATATATATATATATATATATATATATATATATATATATATATATTGATTATTGAAACATGCAAACATTTCTATAAATTTGGGGGCCCACTGATGTGTTTGGCCTGGGGCCCACAAGTAGGTAAATCTGGCCCTGGTTACAGCTAATTGGCTGTTGTAAATCTGTCCGATTTTTCCTGAAGCTGAACTAGGGTTACAGAGCATTTCACAGAGGGTTAATGAAATTAATACAGTTGCAGCAGTTCGATTAATGAGAGGGAACAGTGGGGGTAAATTTGTACAAGATGTAAATGATGGTTTAAAAAAATAAAAGGCCCTTCTGCAGGCAAGGCAAGAGAGGATACAACAATACATGAATGGATTAGTAAATATTATTAAAAAATGTAATGTGACAGACTGGTGAACAGCTGTTCAGAAAAGTTGTAAAGATCCACCCTAGGAAGAACAAAAAGTAAAGTTAGACATTGTGCCTCTCACAATGAAGAAATTATTAGGCTACATGAACCAGGACGGTTGGGGGCTTTTATATGGGAATAAGATTAATAATTTGTCTAATATAAACACCTTGCATGTATATTGTGACGGTTCAGCTGTGTCAAGTGGCAGGGCAGGTTGTGGGATTGTGGAGTATGAGATAATGGTTCACACTCAGGATGGGTTGGAGAAAGGAAACTCACAATGTGCTCACTGTATACATAATATATTGGATGTACAATGCAGCTTGGTGCTGGGATGTGGCAGCGTGGTTACAAGCGTGAGTAGAGAGAGCTGGTTGGTGAGGAGCGTGCTCAGAGGAGGTGTTGCTTGCTGCGGCTGTAGGTAGAAGAAGAGAGATAGGTCACGGCCACGTGAGGTCTTATATAGCGGGGGTAGGCGTGGCTTGATAGTTGACCTCCTCTTTGTTAGGCGGCGCTGGTTACCGACCTAGACCACGAGGCGTATGATGGGGCATTCGAAGAGGGTCGGCTATTCAGCGACAAACGGCGGTTGTAGGGGAGATATCCACTACAGGATCCATATAAGACAGTAAGTACACAGAACAAGGTACTGATGACACCAAAATTGGTGACACCAAAAACTACATTTTAAAAGATCAGAATTACATTGAAATGCCTGCACTTCGGCACCTCAGCTACCCTGAGAGATTGGAGCGCCTGAACTTGCCTAGCTTATACTACAGACGGGCAAGGGGGGACCTAGTTGAGGTTTATAAGCATCTCAGGGGGCACTACTCAGTTGAGTGTCCTTACTTGGAGCTGGCGGACGCTCGCCTCACAAGGGGTCACAGCTCAAGATTGAAGAAGCCGCAAGTCCAGAAAACCGTGAGGGCAAACTTTTTCGGAGTGAGGGTTGTAAACTCTTGGAACAATCTACCAGAGTGTTGTGACGGCACCGAGTGTGAGCTCTTTCAAGAGAAGACTTGACCAACACTGGAGCGGGTTCAGGTACATTCAGGAGCCGGTGCATGCCCAGTATTTGCCAACAGTGCGTGACAGAGACGTGACCGATCGCCCGGGCGGCTAGCGAGCCGATCTTTTGGTGAAGAATATAAATGAAAAGAGACGTGACCGATCGCCCAAGCGGCTAACAAGCCGATCAGTGGCGAAGAGGATAAAAGTAAAAAGTAAAAGTAATTACACGACCGTTAGCAGAGGCGGGAAATATGACTGCAAACTACTTCATATTTTTCCCGCCTCTGCTAACGGTCGTGTAATATTTCAATGTAATTCTGATCTTTTAAAATATTGTTTCTGCATAATGTATTATTAGTGATATGTAATTTGTCTTAGTATGACTTATTGTGGATAAAAATAAGTTTATATTAAATGCATCCTCCGAAAGCGTGAAATTGCTATCCTAGTTTAACAGTTAATTCATGTATAATAATTCTGATAAACTTCCTCCGTGTTTATGTTTGAAATAATGAAGATATGTCTCTTTATATAGTTTAGCTAAATATCTTTCTCGTCAGGAACGGTCATCCCAACGATTATGAATAAACTCATTTAGGAATACACATTACTCAGGACAAAATCGGACAGGTTTGCAACAGCCAATCAGCTGTAACTTTTGAGGAGGGGGAGGGGCATCTCTTCTTAGCTGGGAAAAAACACGCTATAGTGAGGTATTGTTTGCATATGGAAGTCGGCATGCTATATGAACTGATTATACTGTATATATATATATATATATTCAACCACATCACCAGCCAGGACTCGAACCCTAGACTTTAAGTGTGTGACCAGGGAACGCTGCCAACCATGCCACAAGGACACTAAAAGCAATCCTAGACTATGTTATATTTCACACAAAGCCTGTTCATCGAGTTGATGGCGCCGTGAACCTCCCTTTGGGGATTGCCCGTGCCACTTATGTGGTGGGAGTAGCATTTAACCGAATCCAGCTGGTATGAAACATGAGGTACCATATATCTTTCATTTTTAGTCCACATAACACTCGGACATGAACATATAATCAATGACCTCACCAGCCAGGACAGTCCTGGCTGGTGAGGTCATTGATTATATGTTCATGTCCGCAGGTTATATGGACTAAAAATGAAATTATATATATATATATATATAATATTGGCCACTTAGAGTACTTTTCTTGTTGGCCGCTTGGGCGATCGGTCACATCTCTGTTATGCACTGTTGGCAAGTGCTGGGCATGAATCGGCTCCTGAATGTACCTGAATCTGCTCCAATGCAGTTCAAGTCTGGTCTTGAAAGAGTTCACACCCAGTGCCGGTACAACACTGTAGTGGGTATTCTCCCCGACAACTGCCACTGCCGTTAGTCGCTGATCAGCCAATCCAGCGACGAAGTTTTTCTGACAAGCCTAGCCGTCTAGACCTTAAGCCCAGGGTCGACACCGGCGACGCTTACTTCCGTGAAGTCCATTCTACCTACTGTAGAGCCCTGCAACACGCAACACCTCCTCTAAAGAAGCTCCTGCACAGCAACTCCTCTACCACGCAGCAACTTCCCAGCACCAGATTGTTTTGTATATAATATATTTATATAAGAAAACCGCCATTAAGAGTTTACCCTTCTCCAACCCATCCTGAGTGTGAGACATCATAACGTTAACACTACAACACTCTTTGGCAGGTTGTTCCAAGAGTTCACAACTCTCACCCCGAAAAAGTTTGCCCTCACAGTTTCCTGGACATGTGGCTTCTTTTTCCTTGAGCTGTGACCCCTTGTGGGGCGAGCGTCTGTCAGCTCCAGGTATGAACACTCGACTG